AAGGAAATTCTAGAAAGATGTGACAAAATTTTGAAATGAACACTATGTGAGTGACTACAGTACTTATAGATCACAATTTACCTGAAAAATATTCATTCCTTCGTCTCTGGTTGCATTTTTTGTGCATTGTACAACAGCACCATGTAATGGAATGCTTTAATAAATAATTATCCCAAGAATCACAAATAATACTGAAAAACTATTTCCAATCACTCGAGAACAAATACGAAAAGAGTTATTTTGTGTTGTTTGACCTCCAGAGTCGGTCATCTGACAGATCTTGCACGCGACCCATGGTCAAAGTTGATTTGATTATATTATTGGTAGGTTAGGTCAAATAAGGCTTCTATACTGAAATCGTAATATTCCCATTGCGATTGCGAGTATAAGTATGAAATATCTGAAAAACAAAAATAAATTGGTTTTGTTCACGACAGTTTTTTTATCTCTTGGAGCGCACGAAAGGAAATTCCTATAATGTTCGAGGAACATCGTGCGTACTTAGGAAGGAGAGGATACTATAATTTCATTAAAGTTCTCCAGGAATTACTCAAATTCATTCAGTAGGTATATATATTTGAAAATATTGAGTTGAGGGTAGCCCTTGAACATATGAAATTAGCGACGTTTGTCTGATTTGATCAACCTCGTATCATTGACCGTTTTGGAGATACTAAAGATTGTATGACATGAACTAATTCATCATTTCTCTAGATTTTCTGAAATCTTGTTACCTCGTTTCCATTAAGGAGAATGAAGTATTATTTCAATATATGTATGAAAAATTCCTTTCTTTGTTTCCATCTATTGACAGTACTTAATAAAGGAAGTATAATCCCAAAATTCAAAGTGAATTAAAAAAATTTGGTATACCGAATATTTATCTCTTACTATTTCTAGGTATTGTATGAATTTTCTGCCTCACTGGTTTATCCTTTGATTTATTGAATTCAAAAATATTATTGCCATAGACTGAGTTACTATCACTACTACTCATTAACAGGAAATCAATTGATAATACTTGATATACATACATACATGTAAATAAACACCTTCAACACTTGATTTTTTAATTACAGTGACAGTTTGGGGCAAATTATCTGTTTTGTTGTTGCTACACATACAGAGTGATTCAATAAGAAGTGGCAATCTCTGATCTACAGATAGTTAACACCAAAATATGAAGATTAAGCCCAACAAGCCTTATAACTATTTTAAATTTGTCCATACATTTGGCCAAACATTTACATTGAAATTCTCTTAGTCTTTGGCGTTGTTAGTGATTGTCATTGTTGTTCACCTGCCTTTTTTCCACTGTCACTTCGCTAACTTCATAATTTGAAATAATAAAAATATTGGTTGTGAAACAACCTCTTCAAGGGCATATAAAGCAAAAACCGTTAGTTAGACAATTTGATTTCATTTTTAATGTAAAATTGGGCGGGCTTTCAGATTTTTTACTCATTTTGATCATCATTTAATGGGCAAAGAAGATTATGTAATTTACCGAAATAACATAGTTCCACCAGTGACCCCTATGAGCAATCACAAAATAAGTTACAAATTCGTATTTCTCATGTCAGAAAACCTGAAATTTCAAAATAAAATCTATAACAGCAACATTATTAATAGTCATGTGGGGCTAAATCTTCATATTTTGGTGTTTACTATCTGTTATAAAAACGAGGAGAAGAAATGATTGTCATACAGATAATATTCAAGAAGAAGAAGAAGAAGTTCAGACACGGCATCCTGCCTCTATTTTACCTCGATAAATCCATCAGGTAGCTCCTAAAATCAATACGTCATTTGATGTAAAAAAATAGTTATCACTAGAAAAATACTTTTGGACACAGTACGATACAATGCATGGTAATCTTAAAGCCTAATATGGAGGAATATATTGCACTGCGATGTGTCACTCTACACTCATGCAGAATGATAGACAGAGGGTTCAGTCTTCCCTATATAACTACCGAAACTTTGATGTCTCACATTGAACAAAAATTATAAAATGTTTTTAACGTAGCTGATGTCTATTTTCTATTTGACTACATTGTTTGATAGGGTGTTGTGTATATTCAATAAAAAAACACGAAAGGGTAGTGGTAGATGAAAAACAAGCCCTTTTTAGTAAAAAAAAAGATTATTATGGTAAGTAGTAAGAAGTACACATAATATTCAAGGTAATTTTTCGAAATTTGTCAATCGTGAAATGTAAAATAAACTACTTGCTGTTTTGAAGAAAATATCGAAATAAGGATTCCTCCTCTAATTCGAATTATTGTTATAATTTATGAAATGCCCCTTCTAAATACTGACGGTGAAGCATAGATTAACGAGTCCCCTAGATATACACCGCCCATGTATTTGGACGGTAACTCTGGTTTGGGACATAGTTGGGACCTGGCATTCTGACCATCCATCGCCGCTAGAGTTCCTAAATGTACTTGACACTGATGTTTTGAAGTTTCTTGTATATTAGAGTACGGACACTATGACAAGCACTGACATTCAGACATAACCACAAATAAATTGATGCAAAAAGCGGGAACTGACAGAACACGGACGTACATGACATAAATTTCAAAGGTTTGACAAATTGAAAGAGTTAGGAGAGAGATGCAAGTTTGTGCAGTTTCCAACTGTGAGAACACGGGAAATCAAGTCACTCTATTCGAATTTCCATGGGATAACGTAATTCTACAAAAATGGAAACAGGATGGAATATAAGTTCAGGCCACAAAATTTGCGAGGTATTCAAATTTCTTGGTAGGATCTAGAACAAAATGATCTTCCGATAGCCAGGTTCAAACCAACAATCCCCTTTAGCAATGTGAACGGCGATATATAGTGAGTAGGGCGCTGAAGTCCATTTATACCTACTTCCGTATGTCTTTGGAGAACCTTTTATTATTTATCCTAACTGAAATCAGCTGTTATTGTTGCCATATCATTCGTTCATTTATTAATTACTTATTACCTACTACTCTTGTACAAGTGAAATTGTTCCATACGAAATAAAAGTATGTTTCATTGGTTGGAATTCATCAGTTTTTACCCCATTCTAAATTTTGTGATAAAAAAATATTAAGAGACATATTTCATAGGAATAGTATATGTATTTCGTTGGTATATATGTACATACCAACTTGATATCGACCTCCATTGAGGTCCTTCAGCCTCATCATTCAATATTTCGGGAAGAAATGATTTTCTAGTCAATTTATCGTACTCTTTTGCCCACTCGAGGAGACGCTATGCACTCTCATACAAAAATCAAAGACAGAGAAAGATATGTGGATGTACTCTTCCCAGGACGCGATTTTACTAAATATACTGTACGCTAGCACAAACCACGCCCACCGTAATATCTCATCTTCGAAGTACTTAGGCAAAACTCAGAGACTATTTATACTTAACGAACTAACCTATCCCTGATTGCAATATTTTTGAGGAAGGAAAACCGAATGGAGCGTAGAAACACATTGATTAATAATATATTTCAAAAGTTGAGTTCTTCAACAAAATTGAATAAAATGAGACTGTTCATCCTAAACGCACTAACCTATTTGACTTCAAATATTTTATGAAAAAGGAAAACCAGAATGAAGTAAAAAAACATTGGTGAAAAAAAAAGTTGCAAAAAAAAGTTCAAGTTCACAGCGATTCGAACCATGGACCTTCAGACCTTCAGAAAGTCGACAGCGCTAACCAGTAGACCATTTGGGTATATGAATTTACTGCGTACAAGAGATTGACAACGAGAGAGCTTCAGTCGAATTCGTGTCAAAATCATGAAAAGTGTATTCTTGCGTTGGAGCACAGTATATTTAGTGCGATGTGCTGACTCCGAGTATATCGGTAATGTTTGGAGATATGACGTATTATGGTGGGCGTGGTTTGTGCTAGCGTGCAGTATATTTAGTAAAATCGCTCCCAGGACTTGTGGAGGAAGGAAGATGAGAGGATCCTTTATCAAAGCGAAAAACATATTCTTGTCCTTGTCTGGCAAAACATATGATCTGCTTCAAAATTGTTTGTGGTTATGTTTGATTGTCACTGCTTGTCTAGTGTCCGTACTCTAATATACAAAAAACGTCAAAACAGCAGTGTCAAGTACATTTAGGAACTCTAATCGCCGCTATTGCGAATTTCCGCACGAAGTTGTCAAATGTTGGTTTTTGTTCGATTTCTAATATATTGGTAGGCACATGTAGATTATTATTAATCTATGATACTACAACCACAATTATTTGTAGTATAAGACTTCCGTGGTAGGTAAGAGATTTCAATCTATGGTAAGATGTTATTTTATCAGTTTTCCATGGTGCTCAAAATAATTACTCATGACCCGACCTGTTCAAAGTTAGTTTCAGATGAAGAAATCTAATAGTACTTTCTGAAAAATTTTAGCACATGAAAGTTGGCAAAGATTACCGCCCAAAAATAAATTTTCCACTTGTTGAATGTGCATTTCAAATACCTACCTAACAAAAAAGTGTATTGAAATCGATGACACAAAGATTTTACAGGAGTTACTACCTAACTCTCCTTTTATCAGGCCAGAGGGTAGATTTGATCACGAGTTTTCCTCCGTTTTTCTTGTTATGAAATATCATGAATTTCAATAATTGTTTAAAAAATGTACAGAGCTCTGGAAAAAAAAACGAGTTGCACAGTGAACTTTGGAATAAAAAAATAGAATGGTCAGCGTAGCCTCGTGGATAAGAACAATTTCAGGACAATTATTTTAGAATAGATGACTAGGTACCATTAATTTAATATGAGACGATCAGGACCTGAGAAAATATTGACATATCAAGTTGGAAATCTAGACAGGAACCATTTGGTTCAATTCCATTGGATCAATAATACTGCACAAACAAACAATAATCAAACAGAAAATAGGCATCACTCATTAATGAACAAATAATAAAATCACTGAGACAATGAGTATTATTTTGCTGAACCCTACAAGGAAATATGTTCATGGAAAATCAATAAGCATAATTCCCAACATTGTATGCTACGATAGTTACATGGTCCAACTTTCCCGGTAAATTTTGAACCTTCTCCAGTCCCTTCTTCCTCCTGATTTTTTTCTCGTGGCTGGAAACCTCGACAAGCACTCCGTTGCGGTTGTCGAAATAAAGGTCTGGATCTTCCAGTGTATGGCGTTTGGCTGACGTAATGCTGATTGTGTAGCTGACAAGGTTCTCGCATAATTGTTTGGATGAAGAACAAGGTGAATCCTTGCCTGTTGAAAATAGAAATTCAGTGTTTTAACGCGAAAAAAGTTATTAGATGCACCGTTTTCGCGAAAAATTGAACCAAAGAAGAGAAATGCCTGTTCTTCCTTATAGTAGGAGAGGTGATGTCAGGAAAGGGTACCGATTTGCACATGTTTTGCACTCCACTTATAGGACAGAAGATGCCACTATACAGGGTGAGTCAAAAATGTGTAACGAGCTTTCTGGAGGTGATAGTACATTGAAAAATAAGTATAGTTTGATGAATAAACTAATGGTCCAAAATGTAAATTATGGGAGATGTTTCCTTCCAAAGTTAATCAAATTAGAATAATTTTTCCGCATGACGTCTAAACGGTCAAAATCTCCAGATTGATATTCCCTTCATCAATGTATGTTGATAAGATGAATAACTATTACAGACCCTTCAACACTCAGCTCTACTGGGATGAAATGGTCTTGACTAACTGTCAGGAAGGCACATTAGTGTGGTACACTGACGGTTCTAAGACTGATGAGGGCACGGGAGCCGGAATATATGGAGATAGACCCAGAACCAGGATGCGTGCTTCCTTGGGGAGGTATGCTTCAGTATTCCAGGCAGAGGTGCATGCTATTGAGGCATGCCTGAGAGAGAATATTGTAAGAGGATACAGAGGTAAACAAATTCTCATATGCTCAGATAGTCAGGCGGCCATTCAATCTTTAACATGCAATAAAATCAGATCAAAACTGGTCTGGGATTGCCTAACCACAACAAGGTAACTCTTCAATGGGTGCCAGGGCATAAGGGAATTGAAGGCAATGAAGCAGCTGACGCTCTTGCCAGGCAAGGAACTGCGCCGTTGTTTATGGGACCGGAACCTGTGTTCGGTATCCCCGCGGCTGGCTGGCAAGGTGGATGCAAGAAAGACATCAGGCATACTGGAACAATGTCCCAGGACAAAGAAACAGTAAACTGATGGTTGGAACACTGTCCAAAACAGTGACTAACGACATTCTGAGCCTAAACAGAAGTCAGATCAGACAAGTGACGGGACTAATAACTGGTCACTGCCCCATGAGGAAACATATCATCAAATGGGCATCTATACTGACGAACCCATATGCAGACTATGCAATGGGGAGGAGGAAACTGCCACCCATGTAATATTGGAGTGCGAAGCACTAGCGCGTTGGAGATACAACCTTCTGGGAGCAGTAAACTCTCAAGAGGCCTTTCCAAAGAATGATTTGGTGAAGAGGCTGCTAAACCTTATCAAGGTCACGAACCTGTTCACCTAAGTCAACAGCATGATCAGGAATACAATAGGCCCAAAGGCTGCTGTGTTTTGGGCTTCGAACCCTGACTGATCATTCTGCTATTAATTAATCAATCAATGTTGATAAGATACATTTTTTTCGTACACTTCTACATTTCTGAAATTGTTATAAAGGGTGTTTAAAGTGGGTGGGTCATGATTTTTTGTAGACAAATTTTTTTCTCGTTTTCTTTTTGATGAAAAAATAGACGCATTTGATAGTGCGAAAAAAATACATAAGAACGGTACTCTTATCGGGAAACAAAAACTGTATCCGTCTTCGAGATATTTGAGTTTTAGTAGTGACATTATATCAGCCGATAAATTCATGAAATAATATTTGAGGTGGATTAGAACTTTTTGGCAGGAAACCATCTCTATTTTTCATTCTAAAACATTTTTTTACGCAATCTTTGGACAATACTCAAAATTATTGTTCTAAAATTAGGAACGTGTCAAGCGGGAATCGAATAATCAGTAATTTCCTAAAACCTCAGTTGAAAATCGCAGAAATAATATTACTATTTAAAAAAACTGAACAAGGAAATTAACAATAACAATGCTGAAGTCATGAATGTCAATATAAAGAACAAAATTGATCTTGGCCTACAAAAATATTGTTACCGAGAAATTAATCTGCTGATATCAAGTGACTACAAAAACTCAAATATCTCGCAAACGGTTAAAATTTTTGTATTTCGATAAGAATACCGTTTTCATGTAATTTTTTTTGCCCTATCAAATGCTTTTATTTTTTCACGAACAAGAATACTAGGAAAGAAGTTGTCTTCAAAAAATCATGACCCGCCCACTAAAAACACCCTTCATAACAATATCAGAAATGTAGAAGTGTAACAAGAAAATTCATTTCATCAACAGAACTTCATGTAAGAAATCTAAATTTCGTGACTTTCACCGTCCAGAAGTTATGCGGGAAAATTATTTAAATTTCATCAACTTTGGAAGAATATATCTCCCTTAATATACATTTTGGGATATAGTTCATTCATCAAACTATACTCATTTTTTAATGTTCAATCACCTCCAGAAAGCTCGGCACACATTTTTGACTCACCCTGTATAAACAAAATCGCATTTCTGCCATCTCAGATTGGTTCTCATATTCATTATTTAACAATAACCATTGTCAAAAACGGAAGGATTTCAACCAATCTGCACAAGTTCAGAAATATGTATACTGCTCTTCCTCACCAAAACATGACATATTGACCCATTCTGCCAAGTCTGACTGGCCCGAAAATCGTTCTGCCAACAGATTTCTCGAGCTAGAATGAATGGAAAATTTTGACCAATCTGCACAAGATTCAAAATGGTAGATTCGAGTTGGCTATATTGCAACTAGTTCTCGGATACTATTCTGCCAGCTCGAAATGGTTCGAAAAGCGTTCTGCCGAGTAATTTTACAGGAGAGAAATCTGGAAAATTTCACCAATTCGCACAAAAAAATGTCACCCTGTAGAAATTGAAAATCTTTAAAATGCCTAAAATGATGATCTTCTAGGAAGTATTTACCACACCAAATTTCAAATTGATATGTTCGAAAGTGAGATATTCTATAATTAAATAAATACAAAAAACTCAGTCATTTCCACACAATGTTCTTGACTTTGAGCTTTTTGTATTTATTCAACATTTCATTCCAGTTTGAGCATTGTGGCTATTTCGTAGTTATTCTATAATTGATAGAAAACAATAATTAATCTTTGACCACCTGTAGCTCCGCTACTGATCGAGATCAGACTCATGTTCATATGAACTTTTTCGATTGAAATGATGAGATCTATCTCCCATTTCAATTTCTTTCTCAAAACCTGAATCACCCTGTATATGGAAGGCCCGATATCGGAGAAGTTGCGCCGGGGCCCAAAAGGCTTGAGCGGCCAAAGGCGCAATTCATCTAACATCGGGCTCTTCCAGCACTAGTACTGTTAAAATACCTACTATTACTTAGTCTATAAATATACTAGAAAGCTTGGCAGAACAATTTTCGAACCAAACAAAGTTGGCAGGCCTTTCTGTGTCACCACAAAGTCGTGTGCAAAATTTGGAGCTTGTGCTTATTGGTTGAATTTTCTGTTTTTCTCTCGGAAAATGGGTTGGCAGAAAGCTTTCCGAACCATTCTGAGCTGGCAGAATAGTATCCGAGAACTTGTTCCAACATAATAAACTCGGATTCACCATTTTCAAACTTGTGCAGATTGGTAAAATATTTTCTTTGGAAAAACCCTTGGCAGAACGATTTTCGGGCCGATCAGACTTGGCAGAATAGTTTGGTAATAGTATGCTTTCTTTTGGGGTTTGTACAGATCAGTATTATGTACTCAAATTAATTTTTCAATTGCAACTACACCTGACACGTGATTACCTTTTGGGCTCACGCAAGCGGTATCCTTTTGTATTTTCAACTACGCATATCACTTATATTTCAGTTTGGAATCAAAATATATACATAATGATACCCTCCAAGAGGCATACTGGGTGAAATCACGTCCGAAAATCTGTCACTACCTGCCGGTCTATACAGGGTGAATCTGAAACTGAGATTTTTCATTTAACAGCGTATATATCTCACCAAAATGAGTTGTTTGGCAAAAAATTGTTTATGTGAAAAATGTAAGATACCGGAGGTAGAGACATTTGAAGGTTTTGTACATTAAAAATCTAGTTTCATCAATTCAACATTTATTAGGAAAAATATGATAAAAAAATCACTTCAAAACGAAAATTATAAGGTTGAAAATATGATGTAATAATGCAACTGTAGGGATTCTAATGCTGGACTTGTAACGGCTATTTTGTGTTTTTTGAAAAAATGTAAACGAAATGTTGTAACGAAATCCAGGTTTCTACCAATTTGTATTGAGTTGATTCTCCTATTCAAATGCAGATGTCCGTACTTATATCGATTTCCTATATTTCAACTAAATTCGCGAAGTCGTTCGATACCGGCAAAAACTCGGCCGTCCCACTTGTTATCTCCACGCGCTTTTTTGAATGCTAAAGAGATTTACAGAAATTAATTTTTAGCGGTAGGTACTCTGATTCTTTGTACTATATTTGTGGTTCTTTCTGTGCATCAAGAGATTTATTTTGCGTGAGCCGATGTACCTGTTATTTAGGTGAGTTTAATTTTGGTCTTTATTCTGTTGCTGGTTGTTTTCCCCCCATAAACGAGGTTATATAGGACTAAATCGATTCATTTCATTATTTAGATACGAACAAGTTTGAAGATAATTGTACCCCATAAGGCGGATATTTGCACCGAATTAAAAGGATATCAGCTGCTTCCCCACATTAGTGTTTTTGCTACGAAATACGGCCCAAGAACCCATCCCCTGAGACCTCCTTAGCAGTCACTGGCTCCCATTTTATTTGACTTCGTGCCTGCATTTTCAAATACCTGTACCTACGTTTTCTTAAATATTTTATATCAGCAATATTTCGCCAAACAACTTATCTTGGAGGGATATATATCCTGTTGAAAAGAAAACCTCACTTTCAGATTCACCCTGTATGTATGATACATTTTCGAATTCAGCTTTCCATATTGAAAAAAATGGATAATATATAGGGTTTCATTCGAAAATACTGTCGCGGACATCACTACTCAAACTTGGATTGACCTGTATATTTAAATTTCGTGGTAAACGAAAAGCACAATATTATAATCACCGAATTCTATAGTGGAAATTGACCCTAAACGAAACATTTTCAATTTTCAGTGATAGATTTATGTCAAACTTTGGCACTTATACAGGGTGTTTCAAAAAAAACCTGACCCCCTTGCTAGGGTAGGTAGAACACTGCAAAATAACTTGGGTTTGCTCAGTAAAAAAATGTAACGGAATCCGTTTTCAAGATACAACATTATGTATGAATGTGTTTTGGAAGCTGACATATCGCATGAAAAACATGGATTACACAGTTTCTTTGTATTTCAATCAAAAATTCTATGCTACAGAGGTAAATTCACGTCAAGAGTTGCGAGACAGAAATGTACATCACTTAAATGACCTAACAGCTGATCCTCAACCGTTTAGAAAAATAATGCATTCTTATGAAAACAATATAGAATCGTGTATTTGTGGAAATAAATATGTTGCTATTTAATTACTATACTTAATGTCACTTAAATAGAACACTTTTTGCACTTGTTGCATAAAAAACTATTACCTGATATCCCATTCTTCAAAATATCTTCAATCATCAGTAGCTGCAGCTCGTATCTCTGAATCGGAGTTACATATGGTATCCCATCCTCATTCCTAATTATCTGTTTAGAAGTGGTGGCTCTAATGTCTAATGTGGTCTTTGAGCGTAAAAACTTATAGCCCATTTCATTTTTCTTCGAAGTACTACTTTTATCGTCAACAGATTGTAGAGTTTTGCTTTGGGACGGCTTTGCCATCATAGGTTTCTGACTAGAATGAACACCTTCATGTTGAAGTTGACTAGAGGCCTGACGTCTTAGACTGCTTGCTTTGTTCTCCACAACTACAGGTTTCTTAAAACCTGCCATGAGAGAAAGAAGAATCTTTATTGACTCTAACAAGTACCTGAAGGAATGTATAGGGCATGTCAAACAGTAATATGTATATATACAGTGAGGACGTAAAAAGTAATTCCCCCCCTTTAACCTGCGAACGGAACGAGCTAGCGAGGTCGGGTAAAATTCAGGCAAGATGGGTCACGTGGTACCTTGTTTTGAAGGCCTTTCGATTCTCTATCCAACACCGCTTCGTTTGTACAAATCGGCCAAGCCGTTTCAAAATGACAATCATGACACAAAATTTACTTAGAGCATGAAAATTCATCAGTTACATCAAATATATATTGAATGAAATTAGATTATCTCCTCCTGAATTCCATAACTGCGACGGCTAATACTTATGCTAAGACAATGTCATTCCATTTGAAAAAATTGCTCCCGACTATCAAGTCTCTTTTCATTGTGCCTGGTGCATTCATCAATAATATCTAGTTATAGACCTTGTCAACAATCAGTGCAATAAGACTACGCACTATTGCCCGCACCTTCATAATTTTATTCATGCCAAATACTTACTTTTGTCAATTTTGGGTGGTCCCTCTACAGAATTCTCTTTCATGAAAGCAGCTATAAGAGGATTATCATATTCAACATCTGAACGTTTTGAATCTCCATTTGGCTCTCCAGCTTCATTATCATCCAAATTACACTCATTACTTTGCGATTCATTTCCATCGACAGGTTTACTGATACTGTTGATATCTGAATGCTGAACGGGAATCACAGTGTTATTCGATCTACTATGTAATGATGAATTGTCAGTAGAAGAAGAGGATCTTTCGGAAATAGTGTTACTTTTGATGCTGCTCCTCTCTACTGAACTCCTATTGAAATCGTCTTTATTTTTCGACCGTCTTGGTGGTTTCAGAGGAGGAGCAGGTAGTGAAGCCACACTGCTAACTGGTTTCGGAACGATCGGCTTGATCTCCAAGGGCATTTGTGAATGTACCCCTTTAGGAGGCCTACTTATACTCGGCCTTCTAGTTTTACTAGGCTCGTTATTGGAATTCACTGTAAATTTACAAACGTTTGGATCAAAATTGTCAGTTAGTCCATCACTGGCTACCATTACAATATCTCCTTTTTGTAGGGTGGTTATGGAAAGGGTCAGGTTACTTAGTTCTGGATTTATTCCGTCTACAGGTCCTAAGGCGCCGAGGGCATCTCTCATGTCTCTGTTGCAGTTTATATCATGGGAACCTGAATTTACAAAATATCAAAAATGATAATATTGAATGTTAACTACACCTTTTCCAGTTGTATTTCAGAAAGCATCAATTCAATTTCAGAAAGCGTCAATTGTATTTCAGAATAGTCACTTGTTTTTTAGAAAGTATCAATTGTATTTCAGAATAGTCAATTGAATTTCAGAAAGCGTCAATTGTATTCCAGAATAGTTAATTGAATTTCAGAATAGGTCAATTGTATTTCAAATGATATTTTCTGAAATACAAATGGTACTTTCTGAAATTTTATTGAATATTCTGACTATTGCGCATTTATGTGATTAAAAATATGCCGCCGGAAAAATTTTTAAATTAAGATAATTTCCAGATCTATACGATTTTCAATACTGAACATTTTGATAAGTTATATTTTTATATCATAATACATCATATTATTCTATTCGATTTGAGAGATAAAATCAATTCTCAATTTCAGAGGATTTTGATTTTTCATGCTCTCTCTTTGGATTCAATGTTTGACGTGGCAAATAGCCAGGAAAGTAGTTGTTTTCTTATGTGCATATCTTTATATGAAGGAGAATGCAAATTCTCTACTTCAGAAGATTTTGTTTTCAAATTCTTATCGTGTGTGTTGAATAGATATAATTCAATGTTCGTCGTGGCATATAGCCAGGAAAGTAGTTGTTTTCTGTTGAATAAACCGAGAAAGAATAAATATTTTCATCACATGGAGAATGTGAATACTCAATGTAAAATCAACTCCGTCATCAATACAGGATATTGACAAGAGGTACTTGTCCACAGACAGCAAAACAAATTAGGGATGATATTTCAAGTGATTTGAAAATATTATTATCATGGTTATCATGTTATAAATTATAGTAAATCAGCATTTATGATAATTTCAAAAAAATCAAGATATAATGAGTACAAATTTCCAATTTCATGTAATAATGAAGTCATCAAGTATTCAAATTATATCAAGTTTCTTGGTCTGTACATAGATGAACATTTGTCATGGTCAAAACATATTGAAATACTTAGGAAAAAAATATCTCCAATAATAGGTATACTTTTTAGGGTACGGAACCAAGTTCCTATAAAATGTCTCAAATCTATATACTTCTCTTTGATCTATTCTAAACTTGAATATTTGATTTCTGTATGGGGTTCAACAAAACTATCAATTATAAAGCCTCTCAATACTCTTCAAAATAAAATTATCAAATGTATATACAGACTAAATTATTCGGAACCTACTATGAACCTTTACAGAAGAAGAGAATTATTAGATATAGATTCACTATATAAATTCAAATTAATGTCGTTCATTCATTCAGTTAAACATTGTCAAAAGCATTCAAATTTGGTTTTCCAAGTCAATAGTAATCACCACAACCATACAACCAGACAAGCAGATCATTTTTCTGTCAAGAAAATTAAATCAGATATTGGTAGAAAATCCATCTATCACAATGGAATGATACAATACGATTCACTACCAAATAACTTGAAGCTGATTAATAAGATTGAAAAATTTAAAAGAGAATTCAAGAAACATCTACTTGTAATATTGACATCTTATCTCATTTTTATAGTTTTCTTGTACAACTACTATAGTTTCAATTGTGTACCTAACAGCTGAGTCAATTGAGGATCATTTTCAGTTGAACTTGAAGAAAAAAAAGATTGTTTTTGAGTGTAAGTCTTATTTTACTGTCTTCTTTATTTTATTTTGTCAAATATATTTATGTATTCACTATGTTCCCTGCTTTAAACAAATGTTGTTTCTTGGGAATAATAAAGTTGATTGATTGATTGATTTGTGTGCCTTTTATTCCTGAAATTAATATTCTGTTTGTACATTGGAATGACATTATGCTATTGTTAGAATAGAAATCATTCTTAGACCATACAAATCAGTAGGTAACTCAAATAATAGTTGGAATGAGTCATGACTTTTATGAAAATAAAAAAGGCCGACTTTTTGAATTAATTCGGACTTTCTTGAATTGATTCCCTTGAACAAATCAAATTTCATTTACCTAAACAAAATACAAAAACGTAACAGGATAAATAAGATTCACTTTCGTTAAAAATCTTGAAGCATTACATAATAAAATATACAAATGAAACAGACTGGAACTATTGATTGAAAGTAAAATAATAAAAGCTTATACAACTTATTACTTATTCAGAATCTTCATCAGATCATCAGAGGCGCTTTTGGGTTCGCAAATTTAAAAAAATGCAGCAAGAGTCCGGACCTTCTTATATTGCGCCAATTAGTATTACCTACTGGTGCAATTCTAGTGACTATTCCTCTCTTGTTCTCGATAACCAATCAGAATCGACTATTTTTACGGTTTCATCTGTATTGCAGCGATATTTTTTGTTTACTAAATTTTATCGGACTTGCCCTACCAATACAGAAGCCGAATTGACCCACACGTCTCCGCCAACGGCTCGAAAGTTTTGATAAACAATGTCATTTGCGAAATTATCAGGCAGCAAGCTGTCATAACAATGGGCGAGTGGACTGATATTGAATTATTACCATTCAATTACTCCACTGTGCCGTTAGAAACCTAAATTAATGTTTGCAAAACTTCTCACGTTTTTTTATGTGAATAATAAATCTATACGTTGTTCAAAATCGTTGAATTTCAGAGCTCAATTCAAACGTAACGTCATGGGCGCCATTTGGCGATACGTCGAATAAATGGTGACAACATTTTTATGCTGTTTTGTTATTGGTCAGATAATCTTACATTTCCACTCATGAAGCAAGGTTGTCAAGTCACCAATTATAATCAAGTTATCAAAAAGATGTAAGTCCTGTTAGGAGGAACTCATGACATTATAGTTCATTCTTGCCTTTTCCGAGCAACCAGCATATCCAAATATTTCTTGTTGAAAAGGAATATTCTCAGATAAATTATGAACATACAAAAATGGATATATATTTATATAAAGCAATACATTGAGAATTCGCATTCTCTATGTGATGAAAATATTTACTCTTTCTCAGTTGATTCAATAGAAAACAACTACTTTCCTGGCTATATGCCACGACGAACATTGAATTATATCTATTGAACACACGCGATATATATATATATATATATCCATTTTTGTATGTTCATAATTTATCTGAGAATATTCCTTTTCAACACTTTCATACCCAATCAGGGGGTTCAAACTTGAACGATGGAAACTTGTGATTTTTATAGACTTCTAATCGCAGATTCGTGATAGAGTCTCAATTCAGAATTTCTTTCCACGCCCTGTATGATGAATGTTATCATACACCCAAAAGCAAATATTTCTTGTTGGAGACTTGGCAACATCGTGCTAACTACTGAGAACTGACAAGACCACGCCCACAGGTCGTGCGCGGGGTTGTTACGTTCACCGATTCAAATGCCTTCTAGTGTGAATAAATATAATTATTAGTTACACAAGTTTATTATCAGCAATAAGCCACAAATCGTAAGGGAACATTTTGAGACAATTGCATTTTTATTGCTGATTAGGAATATTATCAATACTCAATTGAGAATTTATGAATTATTGAATAAGTAACTTATATTTCTGAGGTTCCCAAACGTATTTCAACACATGGCAACTGTGCTATGGTCTACCCCTACTTACGAAATCGTGGCGTCAGTAATTACTGGCGGTAAATTTCTACCTGTTTGTAAATTACCGGGGCATTATAGATGATTTTAGCACCTACAAATCGACCGAAAAATTCTTTAAAAATATGAGATTGAAATGTAATTGAGAGATGATTCTATTTAAGAAATAAAAAAATAGCCCACTCGCCTATCGCCGAATATTGTCGGCAAAATAGTACTTGTGGTATTACATATGATGAAATATTAGATTTTCGGAATTTCATGCATCATAGCATGTACTTTGGATGTTATTTTTCTCAGGTTTCTTCTACCCAACTCAAAACTCGGTAAGAAGTAATACAGATAATTTATAACAACAAGACATTGCAAGCCAGTCATTCTGATTCTGTGTTGAAATCCTACATATTATTTTTGCCGGAAATGTGAATTGAAAAATTGGAAACTGTGAAGCGGAAGAGAAAATGTAGTCTGTCGCCTGTGGACGCTTCACGGTTGTCAGTTGTCAGATGCCATCGGATATTTCAGTTTACTAGTTTATATTAAAGGTAATAATGCGATTTAATTCATATGAATTAATTCGTGCAAACCCAGTAATAAATAATACCACCAACTATAGAACACATACAAACAACATAGATGTATAGAAAGTCAAATGGTGTTATCACTTCCTATTGAAAGGAGTTTCAAAATCTCTCGATATCGCCTACTTTGTAAAAATAGCGAAGCGTGGGAGATTCTTGCTCAATTTCCGAAGTTTCAAACCAAATTTACAGGCATCATGACAAAGTTACGTGCATTTTGAAAAACATTTCTCCGCCACCCCATTTTGTCGGAAGACCACCTTGCTCATATTTTATTCAGGCATTTCATAAATAGCAACCATACCTCGGGACGTTTTCGAGTTTTTGCCAAAAACTACTGTGGTTTCCGAAAAAAAAAATTTTTTTTGCATTTTTTTTAATTGGACTAATTACCTGTATCCTCAAAACGATGAATCAGTTTCTTTATTGTCATGACTGACTTATTGAAAATGGTACTTAAATGAGTTTGGGTATATCCTAATCGTCGTAACCTGAAATAATAATTATCTGTACTGAATTATAGTTAATATCACTATAGTGATCTTACTAATGATATTTTCCATTTCGACCCGATTTGAATGAGGCATCTTTAAATTTTTTAGGACCCGAATTACACTGACGTTTTCATGAAAATTGGCAATTGATATAACCTCTATGCATACCTATATTGTTTCAACAATACGCTGTTATAGAAACAAGGTACCGTTGTTTGTATTTGTTGATGAGATGTGTTGATTTACTGCTCACTAAGGTAGAAAACTTTTATCATAGACTGCGAAGTAATAAATTATAGATTGTTTTTGAGTAACCTGGTATACATATCTGCCCCAACGATTTCCTGAAATGCATAAAAGCATCCATTCATGGAACTTCTCTAAAATTAGTCCATTAAAAAAATGCAGAATTTTTTTTTTTTTTTCGGAAACCTTAGTAGTTTTTGGCTGAAACTCGAAAACGTCCCGAGGTATGGTTGCTATTTATGAAATGCCCGAATAAAATATGAGCATCGTGGTCTTCTGACAAAATGGGAGGGCGGAGAAATTTTTTTCAAAATGCACGAAACTTTGTTTCACCCTGTATCACGGGTCCTGATCAATTTAGAAGAACCTCTGTAAGGAACGGTTCGAAAGACGATGAAAAAGGCATTCAGAATCTGGGCGGCAATTCAAAATTCGTTCAATATTTTAGAAATTACGAGAAGTCAAACTTGATGCTAAATTTCACTATTAACGTTTCAATTGACGCCCAGTTTACTTGAAATGTCAGTGGTTATTCCTACCCGATATAATGGCACTTGACATAACCACCAACTTATACAAACCATTATAGTATTTTCCATTATTTTCAACATTCATAAAGTAATAACTGATCATCAACATGGTTTTCGAGCAACATTTTCAATAGCTTTGGAATCGTTCTATAATGAAGTTCTGAATTTGGCCAATAAGGGCGAAAGCCCGATTGGGATATTTTGTGATCTCGGGCTTTTGACTGTGTTCAACACAATATTTTGAAAGACAAGCTTTATAAATACGGTATGAGGGGAAAAGCGTACGAGTGGTTATCTTTGTACCTAGATAACATGTTACAATCCGTCAAGATTATCGATAAAGAAAATACATATATGTCTGATCTTACGGTAAATGCACAAGGAGTTCCACAGGGATCCATACTTGGGCCCCTGTTATTTATCCTTTACATAAATGAGTTACCTTCTGTTGTACCAGAGTCTTTTACCACTCTTTATGCAGATGATTCAACATTTTTATTTAGTGAAAAAGACTCAAACATTTTAATGACCAAAATTATGACTGCTTTGTTGATATTTTCTGCCTGGTTTAATGATCAATCCTTGTTGTTTAATACAACTAAAACGAATTTTATATCATATCATCCTCGCCAAAAAACTTTTATCCCTAACTTTGATATATTGGTTAACAACTCAAACATAACAAGAAAAGAAAATGTGAAATTTCTGGATGTATTATTTGATTCAGATTTGTCCTTTAAAGCATACTGTTCAAATTTATCCAAGATGTTAAACTCCAAATGTTTTCAAATTAGAAATTTTAGAAACACACTCAATATAAATCACATTTGTTCACTTTACTTTAGTGAAATACAGTCTAGGATCATTTATGGGATTGGTATTGGGGGAGCTCTCCTCATGCTAAAAGTATTTTTATGTTTTAGAAAATAATTTTAAGATGTATTTCAAACTTCTCAATTGTAGATTACTGTCGACCTGTTTTTACTCACTTGAGAATTTTACCTATTGATGGCATTTATATATTGGATTTAATCACATCAGTTTATAGAAATAAAAACGATTATTTATAAAATAGGGATATTCATGCTCATGATGCAAGAAATAAATCAGACTTCTCCATACCTTACCAGCAAATAGAAATCTGTAAGAAATCACCTAAGGTAATGGGAATTGAACTATACAACAGTCTTCCACAATGTTTCTAAGATATTGCCTTGGTGCATAAATTTTAAGAGAAAACTAAAAATTATCTCATTGACATGTGTCCATACTTGGTTGAAGAATATTTTGAAAATAATCGTTGAATTATGTCCAAACTGCTATATATACATTGATCTAGATTTTTGATGTACCTGAATGTTTCTAGTTTTGTATTATGTTATTGTATATTGTATTTATTGACCTATATTACTGGCCAATTTTAGTATTTCAAGGTAAATGCTCTAGTTTCAGCTAGACTATTCAATTTTAACTTGTTTTTTTTTTGACCTGTCATGTCATTATTTGATATTATGAAATCAATAAATTCTATTCTATTCTATACCTTTTGTCAGTTCACGAACACCATATTTCAGTGAATAAACATACGCCAGCGTATCACCCACATTGCAAACGCAACAAATATACTGAGTCTCTGAGTCTCTCCTCTCCATTCCATTGGACAACCTCGTTCTCCTTTCCAATTTCTGTTTGAGCGGCAGAATGACAGCCACCGTCAACGTGGTCAGCATTCCTTTGTTTTCCAGGATGAGGTCGTGTGCGCAGTTGAATGCGCGCAGCAGACAAACAAACACTTCTCTGGTGTTGGCGATCAGGTTAGTAGTCTCGTCTAATACGTTGCTTGATATGGAACTTTCGTCAGTCTTAATGGTGAGGTTTTCGAATGGTTTCGTATCGTTAAATATGGTTTTGTTCAGGTAGTGAAGACAACCGTGTACCGCCGATTTGGCTGCTATACTTGCTTTTTCACCTGCGATTGGAAGCGCATTATGGTAACTCTAAGTCAGATCCGTATCAAAATTTACTTCTTTGACTAGACTAGAGGTCTGTCGTTACCACCGAGATTAGAAGGCCAGCAGACACTGACGTAAACAGCTCGTGACGTCACCTAAGAGAGGCCAGTGTTTTACCGCTTGTCGACTAACGCGTCAGTTCGTGTTATTTCATCGGTGATTCACGTATGTTTTTGAAGCGGTTCCTAATTTTGTTGTTGTTTATTCATCAAAATAATTGGCGAAAAAATTACTGTTTCGTGAAATATTTTGTGTTGTGAACGAAATAACAATGCCTTTCAAGTGTTGTGTTCCCTTTTGTCGGGGGAATTATGTGGGTGGTCCAAAAGTTCATGCTTTTAGTTTCCCGTTGGACGAGGAACTATCGGAAAAGCGGGGATATGCAATTCACCGCGAGGATTTTACTCCATCTGAGTACAGTAGTAAATAGAGCTCAATTTATAATGATTAATTAATAATAGAAGACAATTACTCTCTCATAAAAAGTATGAGTAGAGAGAAAGAGAAAAGCTTTGATTGTGCAGTTAGTTTTGCATTCGTATATTATTTTTAACAAAATCATCTCTGAATTCGAGGAAATTTCATTGAATGTTCATAACAAACGAGCATTTTTAACTCAATACATTCTCAATTTTCTTTCTGAAACTGGTCATTTGCCTCGTGGCAATGAATGCAGAATTCATTCCAATGATCAAATTGCAACTATCATATTAACATGTACTGCAAACACGCTACTTAAAAAGGAAAAACTGCATTTATCATGCGATGGTTTTTTTTTTTCGTAAATTATATCTGGTACTGACGTATTTTTGTCTGAAAAAGACGAATTTGATAATGAAAATCTGAACAAACCATTATTTATTAAGATATTTGACTATAAAGTTACAAATTTCACCTTCTTTTTCGCCTGTCTTCTGGATGGCATTTAGAACAATTTTCCCTTCTTTTTTCATCTTATTAGACAATTTATATATATCACACTGTATGACACATTTTTTTCTATTATATATTTCAACTATAAATATGATTTTCTTGAGATTTATCCATATTTAGCGCATTCTATTGACATTCGACATCTCGTATTTTGATTGACTATTGATTAAATGGCCGTCATCTGGAATGCTTGTTCACTAAATATGAAAAACTCGCCATAAAAATCATTTCCTGTTGAATTTTCTATATAAAAATGTGTCATCGAAGTACTTCATGAGTATATGAAGTGTCCAATTAGTGTAATAGATGGGTTCGGAAATGAGGGATGTGTCGTACAAGAAAACCACTTTATTGTTCAACGGCCTCGAAATCTCGGTTTCTAGTGTACAGGCCGCCAGTTAGGTGATTACAAATCTAAAACCAGATTAGCTAATTGATACTTTGAAATTCCATGGCGTAAGAACAATCGAAAAGCATGCCGGCATCAATCCGGTTAAATAATATTTCGAACTAATATTTAGTAATAGTTTGATCATGAAAACAATTATAAATAAAGTTGCTAGAGAAATTACCTAAAACCAGGCACACTATTCGTAACTTGTTACACAAATTCTGATAGCTTCACCAAAAGGCTTTTACGATTGCAAACTCAAATGGCGATCGGCCACTAGGTAAACGTAAAGAAAAGAAGCGAATCTCCGAAGTCTCGGGTTTCCGTAAAAACTACCAAAAGTTTATAAAAGAGGCATCTAGTGTAAGGTGAGTTATTTATTGAAGAAGCAGGTAGATTAGCGAACTGTCATGCATATCGAACATATAGGCGATGGACATATACAGGATGATTTTGCTACAGTAGCTTTAAATGCCCCCAACACAAGGGGAGAAAGAAGGCGAAATTTCGAACTTTTTCTTGAAATATCTTGATAAATATGTGTTTGTTCACATTTTCATTATCAAATTCGTGCTTTTCAGACAGAAATACGTAAGTACCAAAAAATATTTTCGAAAAAAAACCATCGCATGATAAATGCAGTTTTACCCTTAAAAATTACTGTTTCAAGTCTAACGATCATTTGGGTAAAAAATCCAACAACAGGAAATTGAAAACACTCACTGGCTAATTTTGTAGGTAATAGGAATTCTCCAAGATAAATTTAGGTAATTATAACAAACGGCATGTCTATCAAAATAAAATACATTTTCCACAATTTTATTTCGATCAATCTCATGATAAGTTTATGTTCTGCGGGCCCTGTATAAGTAGGTGTGAAGTTTACCTTCACCACAATTTTTGCCAATATACTTAATTCGAATGGGTTGCTGTAGGTGGGTATTTGTGTTTTATTCTGGTTTTTGCTTTGAAACTTCGTTTTTCCATAATAAAATCGAATGGGATGCGAAGAAGGGCTCAGTTGACGACTGGCACTCTTTTTTAACCGGAAGCCCTTCAAAAAAACAGCAAAATCGGCTCAATAATGATCTAAAACTAAAATTGAAATACGGGGTCGCCTTATAGCGCCATAAGCGCTTGTCGTTTTGAGCCGCTGGTTAGGCCTCACTAAGGTGACGTCACCACGGAGCATGCAGGCCTTATTGTCTCGATGGTAACGGGTCTGTTCGTTTGTGTTGATGAACTAGCTGAAGTTGATTTTGTTCCCATAGTTGTCTCGGTTCATGGGATGATGTAAACAGAGAAAGCCATAGACAAAAATCAAGTTTAGCAGGTAGAGCAAACACAAATGAACAGGCCTTATTATTCTTACTGATGAAATTGATAGTATAATTCCTCAATGACAAACAATATTTAAAGGTATGATTGTACTGATAGTTCCATTGAGAAATTACGATATATGATATAAACAGTAGTAGAACATAATACCCTAGAAAAGCTTACCCCTTACCCCAATTAACTCCATCAGCGACAGCCAAAATAGCAGAATCATTTCTAGCAATGATTCCAAAGCAATCAGCAATCGGATCGCCATTGTTATTTTTTGTGACCTGATTTCGATCATACAGAGAATCAGAGAGACCGTAGAAAAAATCCGATTTTTTATTCCAATCTTCAGGTAGCATCGAATCGTCTACATTAATGGATGGATTAGTTGATTTTTCTGCGCTCTCTTCACCTGGAAACGAATCATGAATTGATGACGAAATCCACATCCTGTTTGTTGATGAAAGTGTAGTAATAATCAAACACAATAAGAGTTTCGTTAGTAACAGGAATGGAATTCCGTGTTTAAAAATGTGAACAAAAACTAAAACAAATGCATTCTGGATAAGCTATTTAATGATTAATTACAACTAATTACTTTCAAGTGCAGTGCATAACACATTCAATTCAAAATAGGGTAATCCATGAATCAAATACTTCTAAAAATTAAACTGGCCATGTTGAAGTACACACTAGACTTCTTTGGTTTGTATGCTGAATTATTGTTATTAATTTTAATGTCTCTCAATACATCCTTCTATGAAAAATCATAGTGGGTACAATGGATACACATCTACTTATTTTTCATATTTCAATGGCGATTGCGAGGTTGTTCACTGCCAATTTCAAATAATTGTATATTATTCAATATGCGTATAATGATTATTATTACTGACAAACATGAAAATTGCAGTAGATATGAGAAAAAGTCAAAAGCCGTTATTATCTAAGTAATATGTATTATGAATCATTGGAATACGGAATACTTTACTCGACACATTAAGAGAAATCGAGCGTTAGAACTATTTTTGCAGAATACCAAGTGAATTTTACGAGTCATCAATGGTTGAGGGCCACGACTATACAATCAACAATACGGTGTCCGAGCGGTCTCAACATTGAACTCAATGTAAACAACTGGGAGGGAGACTGCCGTTTTCTCGAATAGCACAGAGTGTGTCAGGGGCAGCTGCAACAAAGATAGCATGTGTTACGGTAACCTGTCTCTGTCACACTCGTGTTGTTGAATAGCGGATTGGTGTATTAATTTTCTTTTATCCAATAATTGGAGTACTGGAGATCGTTTTTTTATCTAAACAGGTAAAAAAAGAGAAGACAGAACTTCATTGTTATCTGTTTTGTGAAACACCGCTAACATTGGCGTATTTTGGTTCTTCAAAAAGACTGAATTTGTTGGTGTGAATTGATTGCTGTTGAAAAGGTTTGTGATTTCGAATTAACGAACAATGGATATTGATATTGTGTTGCCTTTGGATGCAGAACAAGCAAGACAAACAGAAATTGTCCTTCAAGGGTAAGTTGAAGATTGTCCAGATCCTTAGAAAAACTATAGTAATTCATTTTCTGGATGTGTCTGTGGATGTTCATAACTTGGATTCTAAGGACGATGTTTTTCGTATGGACCTTAATTTGCTTCCAGCTCCCAAGTCCCAAGTTTCAAAGTTTATTGATAATGAAACCCGCAAACTATTTCATTCGAGAAGGCTATTGAAAAGAAAAGGGAAAATGTGAATGACAATATTGATGAGGTACTAAAAAACATATTGAAGGTTAAAACTACAAGTTCAAATTTTCAAATTCACGAGCTACATCATATTGTCTTTTCAGGTTTGCCGTTGGAGCTTCTTCTCCAAAAAGGAAAAAATTAAGATGTACATTCTCGGCGACACAGATATTCATCTTTAATGAAACAATTCGACCAAACATTGTACTTCCATTCACCTTTCATTCGCCTTCTAATAGTGAAATGTTTATGGAAAAATAGGTACTCTTGAAAATTAGACTTAAAATATACCTAAGGTACTCAATACCATTCAAGAACCCCTCTTCAAATTTTTTTCTATCGTTTTTCTTTTTCTTCTGTACAATACATTGTGACATTTGAATGAAAATATATAATTTCAATCTTGTATTCATTCGACTTCCTAATCCTGTGAGAATAAAAATTAAATTTCACTTTTAGGTCAATAAGAAAATCAATAATAATTTTTGAATGATAATTGATTGCAACATTCAATCACGTTTACTCTTAAATGAAAGCAAAAAACGAGAAAATATTTCCAGTTCCCTTCCAGTTGTTTACATTGAGTTCATTGGGTCTAAAGCGCTCAAACCCGCTAGACAGCCGTTTACCATGCCAAGGTACTGTTGGTACCGGTATTGGAAGGATACGTTTGTACGTCAGTAACTAGTCCCTAATGGGATCTTTTTACAGGCCCCAATGTGTAATGAGTGATGTGGTTCGCTTCAGAGAGCTGGCCAACACACTTTTCAGCTCTCTATCAGAGTTTTTCGGTTGTGTTTTGTAGGCTAGAAATGTACCACATAACCGTATGCTGCAGTGTCAGGCCTGCCAAAAGTAGCATTGATCCGCTCTCTCGCTCTGTTGGTAGTTTTCCACACCCACCTACATACACCGTCCTACGTCTTACTGATGCTTACAACCACATCATCATATTTTTTTCCTATACGTTCTGTGTAGGCTTTGTTACTTACTCCATGCGCCACTTTAGGAGCAGCACTCATTGGAACGCAACAGATAATCGTGCAGGACTATGCCCAGCCGATGCTCCGAAACTTTATAATGTTTAATTCGTAAATTGAATATTAGTAAGATGTCATAGGTACTGTCGGTTAGAATCCGGCTCGGCTCATCGTTTTTCTTGAAAATTATTAATCTTGGTTGTATTCCTGGGAGCACCTCGGCACCCTAGAAGTGGTTCCACTGAAAGTTGTAGGCCCGCTATTTCTAGCCCGCACAAGTTTAGACCTCTGGGGAGTTATTTCAACTTCGAAGAAGCGATATACAAATTTTACATTCTTCTCGCCGTTTCCAAACAACCAAGTAGCCGTTACTTTGTTGGAGATGAGGTGTTTATAAGATGTTTTTGAAGACCCTGCATTATTCGTAGACTTTTTCAAACGGCATATTTCGATGTAATATATGACAAAAAACGGAAAAGGTCGGTAAGAGTGATTGCAAGCTAAATTCAGGTTTCACTAAACTGAGTCAATTGTCAATTCGTTAATGAAAAACAATTACTAATAATATCTTATGTATTTGTGAAAGGTAGTCGAAAATCATAAAATTCAGTTAGTTAAGCCGCTGACGTGGGTATTTGTTTTGTTACAATTGAACACAAATACAGTGTGTTTCAAGATTCAAAATTCTGATCACCCTGTGTAGTATAAAAATTCAGAATTCAAGAAAGGGACATGGGTGCCGTTTAGACCGATAATGAATAGTTTCGACACAAAAAAGTTGAACAATCTTGATTTTGAACACCCTATATCTCTGTAATCATTCCCGCTATACTCCAAGTGTGATGCATTGATGATATCAGATCTTCAGGAAGAATCTAAAAATGCAATGAAATACAGGATATTCCATTTGAAATATAATAATAATAATAATAATAAATGCTTTCATTGAGAGGTTATATACAAAGTACAGAGAACCTAACAAAAGGCAGGATTCAATATCTGCGCGCAGGGGCGTCCGGAGGGGGAGGCAAGGGGGGGGGGCGCTCGCCCCCCCCCCCCTAGCGTGTGGTCTTTACTCATCAGGTACTTTCATCGAAAAAGTGTGGTAGCATATTTTCTTAATTGCTTTCCAAAGTTTTTTCAATAAATATTGCAAGAATTTGTGGAAAAACTATTGAAGAAGCTGCTGCAAACATAGTGGTAGATTTATTGCCAGAAAAATCCCGGAAACTTTTTTAGCCTAGAGAATGCCTACTCTGTATATCCTGTATTCCCGCTTTTGTCGGTGTAAAAATGCTTATAGGTCGTGCAAAAACAGTTTTTTCATATTATGTTCTGAATAATGTACATTATTTATTGTGACTTGCCCCTCCCTGAGATTATTTCTGCGGACGCCCCTGTCTGCGCGTGAAAAATTCATAGCAGAGCTTGCTCTTCCATCCAACCTATAAAAGTTGCTACTACTTTCTGGTATAAGCGGCAACGCTGCATTACTGAAAATATTCTGGATCGATAGACCAAGAGCAACTAAGTACTTAGATCAGTTTGAATCGCGGCACGTTTGGTTATTCGCAAAGGGGCCATTATACCATTTCATTTACTTTCTGTTTCAACTCGTTATCACATGACGGAAGTATACTCGGAATAACCGCAGCAAATAAATGGCTGTGCCGTGGATTCGACTCAGATTAAGGGGTAGCACAGGAAGGTTTTTGAGATATACCATTAAATTGGTATCGGATGGCAGGCATCATTCTTATCTCGTTATCATATCGCGAAATTGAGTGCAAATTACCGCACAGGAAAGTGCTCAGAATAGTGATTGACACAGATGCCGTTCGATAAAATTAGTATATTGTTTAACGAGCACGAAATGAAAGTGATTTCCTACGAGTATGCCATCTCTTCATAAAAAATCCAAAACCGTTATTAACAAATTTTGATAATTCAGTTCATATTATCAAGAAGCTCACCCTATATATGGATTACACAGACTGTGACTCACGAAAGTAAAAGTATTTCTCACACTTTCATTATTTTTTCACTAAACATGATTGGTTAGTTACTGTATGAGTTTGAGAACAATACTTTACAATTCAAAAATGTGATGAAAACAATAGGACATTTGGAACTGAGGCTACTTTATTTTTCAAAATTGTTCATAAAATTCAGTTGCGAGTATCGTTTTTTAACATTCGCTCACAGTGGCAATAACTTGTATAGAGACGTTTCAGTAATGCTCATTTAATTTTCAAGCACTATTTGTTTCAAACGGAAGCTGATGAAGTTGATCCCTTCTATCCTATGAATAATAATTGGAAGTCACTGACATTTTATCAGGTGTGGCTTCAATGTGTATTTCCTCAAATAGATCATATTATAAGATATGTTTTTCGAAATGTTAATTTGGACCCAAACCAAGTATTAAGAAAATATCTTGTGAGAGAAAATACTATACCTTTAAAAGTTTGAACATGAGCAGAATAGTGAGTCACTAGAAAAGGCAACAAATTTGTTACAAGTTAGCTAAAAGAACGTTTAATAATGCGTTCTCATTGGTGAAAGAAAGAAGCAAGAAATTTTTTATGAAATGCCATATAATCTAGATTTATGTACATATACAAGGTCCGGGCGATTTAATAGACAGTATTGCTATTTGAAGTTGATTAAATTAGGCAGAAGTTGTGAAATTTAGATCTCTTCAATATGACGTTTTGCAATTTGGAAAAATGTCAACCGTTCCTGGAATATTTTGAAAAAACTGAAAATCACTGATTTCGTTTATATTTTCATGGTAGATATTAGAAGGAAACATTTGAAATGTTGTGTAAGCAGGTAATTAATCATGACAAAGCAGATGAGATTGTCAGAAATAGTCTATCTCCATTATTTTCAGAGATACGCCATGCAATTTTTGTTTGTCTTATGGGCGCCAAATTAGAGTTTTCCAATTTTTCATTGCATGCAATTTATTGTTCCAATTCATATCTCTGACAAAAATAATAATACCTTATAGGCTATTCAACTCTGAATCGGAATGACCGGCTTTCAATGTCTTTTCGTCATAAATCACAAATGGGGAAGTTTCCTTCAGATGAATTTTCATAAAATAAGTTCGGAACTCTCCAGTTTCATGTCCACGCTGTACAAAATGGCGATAAAGTCCAAGTCGTTTTCATTTTCAAATTAAAGCAATTTCTCATTTTCGGGGCGACAAACTGTGACTTACTTCCTGAATCTAGTCTGAAGATAGATGATGGTGAAAAATATCGCTAGGAAATAGCTAACGAATAGCTTACGAATGAAAAAAATAGAAAGAGTAAAACTGGTAAACAAAAACATACATAACCACAAATGCACTCGTAGCATGAACGCAAAGGGTAGTTGGCTTCATTCTGACAAGTTATGGTTTTGTTATTTATGAATTGAAATATCTCCAATAGAGCTTGTTCTTAAATGAAAATATCATCGAATCAATGAATCACTATCGGCTACATTCAATGGTACTACCCTTCCTAATTTACTGCCAATGTTCAAAACAAAATGAAACCAACACCCATGGCCCTTTCCTCTTGTTGTGCCTGTCAGTATTTTTAGTGGTGTGGACTGACTTGAAGTATTAGGCGCTGTTGCAAGATAGAATCTGCAACTTTCCTAGAAAATATATCCGTTTTGTTAAGGAACTAATTCATTAGCAGAAAAATGACTGACAAGCTATGAATAACATATTGTATTATAAGGATAGTGAAAAATTATAGATACTATCGCAAAATATAAAAATGTATCTTTATCAACTTCATTCAGCCAATGAGAGATTTATAGGATAAGATTGCAGAACCTATTATATCCCATTGCGGTTATGATATAGTTATTATGCATACAAAGAACAATTTCCGGAAATCTAGACCTATTGATGATGTCGGCAACGTCGTACTGGCACAGAGAATCTTATTTCAACTCTGTGTGATGGTGGATTTTCAGAAAGTACGTCATAGGAATGGTGGAGGAGCCAAGTTCCTCTTTATTTTCTAAAGTGAAATTTGATCTTACGATAAAAAGAAAAAATTCGTATATATAAGCTTTCTACAAGCTTCACAGTGAGATGAAAACCTCAATATGGGGAACTTCCCCATTCTGTGTATTACTCACACAAACACATACAAATTGCAGCAATATAAAAAATGCAATGAAACATTTCCGTCCTAAATGACATGCATGAAAATGAAAATGGCTTTTTTTTAATGCAAACTGTAAAGCACTTCTAATGGTACTGGTACTGGTGGGGGACGTTTCCACGTCAGCAACTAGTCCCCAATGGGACCTTTTTGCCAACCCCAAGTGTTTTCAATGACTGATGTGGTTCGCTCAAGAGAGCTGGCTAACATCCTTTTCAGGCACCGCCCATCAGCTCTCTTTTCAGAGTTTTTCAGCTGTGTTTTGTAGGCTAGTAATGTACTCACTACCATATGCGCAGTGGCAGGCCTGCTAACTATCCTCGTTAACCCCCGAGACCGAGGTCTACTTAAGCAGCTGGCCCGCTCTCACGCTCAGCTGGTAGTTTTCCACACCCACCTACATACACCGTCCTACTTCTTCTCTGATGCTCACAACCACATCGTCATATCTTTCTGCGTGTTCTGTGTAGGCTTTGTTACTAACTCCATGCGCCACTTTAGGAGCAGCACTGTTAATTAGAACGCAACAGCGAATCGTGCAGGACTATCCCCAGCCGATGCTCCGAAACTTTACAATATTTAATTCGTAAATAAAATATTGAAAAAAGTTCCTTGCCCGTGCTGGAAATCGAACCCACGACCTTGCGGTCGTGAGACGGACGCTCTTCCACTGCGCCAATCCCGGCTTAGCTTAAAGCACTTCTAAGGAAGATGTTTCATTATATTCTTATGCTTTGATATTTTTTACTAAAAAAAATATTATTTAGTTTTTTGGTAGGTTTTAGTATTTTATTCAGGTGAATGAATAGATAAATCAAGTCCAAATTGATTAAGAAAGTCGCGATTTTTTTTAACTTTTTCATAAAAGTGAAGAGTTATTTCAACCCTGCTTTCAAGGCACCAGGTTTATCTTCATTGAATGTCCAAGAGGAATATTAAATTAGTATTAAAGTTTGGTGACTTCATCAACCTTGACATGCACATGCAACAATTTCATGCATAACAAAAAAATTATGGTAAGATTACTGAAAAATAAATGGAACAATATCTCATAAATATAAAAAAACTAAAAAAAAAATAAAACAGCAAAAACAAACACTGATGCAACACCATGCTAAAATGGTTTACCCCTTGTATTTGTAACAGGTCTTTCAACTTTGATAATGTTGCCTCTTTTCTTGTGATGAAAGGGGTTTCCCTCACTGTTTGACTTGGAAAGGCCATAATTTTCATTGGAGGATTCAGGTTTACAACTACTCTGCTGTTGGGAATTCATTTTTTGAGAGTTTCTAGGAGCAGTTTCCCTCTTAGGAATATTCTTTGCTTTGTCTTTCCTAATACTGGATTCATGAGGTTCTTTAGCAACCTTTTTTCCATTCTTTCCAGTTTGATTTTCATCACACTCAATTTGATTTCCATTCAAGGCCAAGTTATTCTTACATTCTACAGCTGTGCAATTATTATTACTGATATAAAAGCTTTTATCTATTTTCGTTGTTTCAATTTCTATATTGAAATCGGTTATACTGCCGACACTGTGGCTTTTGCTGTGTCTCTTTGATTTATTTGTAACACAATATTCATGACCAGCAACTTTGATTACCATGGTAGTATTATCTATAGGTTGTCCTGGGGAAGGTTTATTTGGAGACTTTTTGGGTAACTTTGTTGAGACTAAAATTGATAGAAAAAGCATCACTGATGGACATTCTCTATAAAGAGATGAATTTCCCATAAATGAAGTATTTAATTCAGTCAGTATTAGGCTTTAGTGTAATTTTATCAATTTGGGGTGAAAAAATGTCCACCTAGGTTAAGAGGTAAGTAACTATTTAAACTCTATGTGGGAGAGGTACTTTGTGATTCACAAACTTCACATTGAAGGTAATGCATGGCTTTTTGGCTTCTGGTGTGAATAATGAATCAATAATATTTTTGGCATTGTAGAACAAATAAACAGAAATGATAGTACCTACTAGGGGTGGGCAATAGTGATTTTGTATCATTAATTTTCAAAATTGTCAATATTATCAAAGTTATTGATATTATCAATATTATTGAAGTTATGGATATGATGGATAAATTGATATTTTTTCATGAATTATTGATATTATCTATTTTTTGTGGATGTTTTTTGCATAGAGTACCTGAAAAGGAACATTGGGCATGCTAAGGGTAGAAAGCAAACTAAATACCACATTCCAAATAAGAAGATAGTAAGTGGTCCTTCTTCTGAAGGAATGTTTACACTGACAAAATAAATATATGATAATCCAAAATGATGGGTGAAATTTTAATGCATGAAAGATAATCAGAATTGTATGATGTGGACATCTTCCCATAAAGAAAACTTCAATGGTTATGCCATGTCATAAGTCATAATATTAGGCAAGTGTAATACTGCCTCATATTAACCAATGAAAGCAAAGGTCAGTGCTTCCCTATGACTTTCAAAGCTGTTTTATCAACAAAAATGGGTATTTTGAATATGATAAAAAATCATAGAATATTTTATCCATAATTATAATATAATATATTATTGACAAATCCATATTATCCATAAACCCATAACCCATTGGTATTATAGATGATTATCCAAATATGAAGATAAGTTTGCCCACCCCTAGTAGCTACTCATTTGCACTATAGTTTGAAAGAATTGCATACCAAGTTTCAATAGGATACAGTCATCCTTTCAGATCATGAATATTAAATATAACATATTTGAGCTAAACATCAGCACTTCCCAAGATATGGAGATATTTTCAGTCAACCTGAATTTTTTGATTCCTGAAGCATAAAAATGCTAGACCTTGTGCTAGATTCACCAAATGCTTTGGAATGAACTCTTTTCACATTCTTCCATGACTTTTCAAAATGCTGTTTGTTTTTCTGATTCAACTGAGGGTTCAACTGATGTTTTCCTCCACAATTTGGTATTCTTGACTATTGCAAATATACCTACCAATGTCTTCAACAGCTATTGTCATGCTTAATGTAATGATTGGATTCATAAGTGAATGCTTAATTATCCCATGGTGATATTCATACAGTCACCTAATCATAGAAAAACTTACCAATCTCCTCTTCATGGGTATCAATATAATCAATATCAGCATCTACTACTGACAAATGTTTCTCAGTTCTTTTAACAGTAGTAAGTCCTCCATTAGGACCTGAATAACAACCAATTACAGTATTGGGCCCAGTGTCATAGTTTGCTAGACTATAATTTGGTAAATCAGTTGGATTCTTTCCATAAATAATTGGTGGACCTTCTTGAAGTGTGATTTGCCTACAATTCAGCACATTGAGTGAATATATAAAATGATGAACATATATAACAATCATACCCTTGTAAATATTTTGTAACAAATGAGTTTTCATTAATATTGTGCTTCTTCTCTCTAGGTTCATTATGAAAACTTAACTGCCTAAAATAGCTTGATACCCTCTTCCTCAAGGATGGCATATCTAGTATAGAAAGTAAATAATAACTGATGTTACATTATAAATAAAATCATGAATAAATTTTACCTGAAATGGTGTGTTTTAGGGTAAGGTTATCTATGCCAATAACCAATTATAATTTTTCTTGAACTCAGAATTGAAGGGAGTAAAGGAAAACTTCATAGTTTTTTGAAATCATTACTCAAAATATGTAATAAAAGGTGAAATAAAAATTAATTTATTTTCAACTGACGAACTGACATTTCACCACACCCCTAACCCTAAAGTATACCATCAGTGTCATCTGTCAATGTCACATGTCAGCCCCGTCCTTAGATCACACAGGAATGTATGATCTAAGGCCCCGTCACTCTCACGAAAACAAGTGGAACGAACGCCTCGCAACAGTTGCGCTCGATACATCCATCATTCTGGCTCACAATATCAATGTAAATATTCTTTCGGCAATAGGGAGACTACTTTTGCACAGTTTTGCGAAACTATCTAACCTTACTACTTAAAATTGCTCTTGTTTCACAATTTTCGATAAATTAATGGGTTACATCGTTACCCACCTGTTGATGGTAACGGTGTGGCCTCTCTTAGTTGACGTTACGAGCTTTTTACATTACCATTACACAATCGCCGCGTATGATATCATTGCCGTGTTCATCCAATACAGGACTTTTGGCTAGAGTACCTATTTTGCTCCGAAGGTCCTTTGGCATACCCAAAAGGCTGTCGTGGCCTTCTTGAGTTTGGAGTTGACAAGATTCTTAATGTATAGACCAAAAGTGCTCTCCAAGCACCATTACCCTCTCTGGATGTAACATTTCTTCCCCCCGACCATACTGTAAGAAAGAGACCGGAGTAAATCTCCTTCTCAACCTCTAGGTAATTTCCCAAAGAGTGTTGTCGCGGGGATCTAGTCTGTCCACTCCACCTTGGTCCTCCATTTGGCATTCCTGTCCTTTGAATCTTTTGTAAACAAATAAGAAAAGTAAGTTGTGTTTCAATGTTTTACATCGTGCACGCGACCTATTAAGGAAATTGAAAAGAAAGAGCAGAATATATGTCGTATTCTTAAATTCACTCAAACCATTATAATAAAGAAAATATGAAAAGAGAAGTTCAGCTGTGTCCGAACTAGTGCGTTGGAAGCCAGAATGATGGAAGTAGTGTATGGTAGCTGTCGAGAGGCACTCGTCAAGTGAATGTACACCACGATTGTCAATGTCATGCTGGCAAGTTCAATCGTTCTCGTTTTGTGATGTGACCTAACGTGTCCCGTGTCACTCGAGTCAGCTGGTTTTGTTAAAAAAAAAGAGATTGGTGAGGCCGAAAATCTGTGCCGAAACATTAAGAAATTACAAATATTGAAAATGTCTTTCTCACACGATTTAAAACAACTTTTCAAACCATATTATATGTTCAATATATTATTAAGTTTATCCTATGTGATATTGAAACGTACTCCAGTTATATGTAACTATTTATTTGGTATGGATACTTGTGAATTTGAAGGGGTAATAAAGACTGATATTATATTATATATTTACCAAACTAATTGACTTCATTCTAGCGAGAAACAGAAATCCTGTTCTTTCTCATTATAGTAGTGGCAATGAGAACAAGAAAGGCAGGAAGTGTCTCAATGATCAATTATTTATCATCCAGTTTTATATACACTAAAGTGGCCAATCTAATATTGTGGTTCAGTGCTGACTATTTGATGGGAATAGTCTATGGTATCATTTTTATACGTAAGTAGTTTTTTGTATCTTTAAACAGTCCATAAAGTATTAACTTCTTATGAAGAGGGCACACTATTAAAATAGAAGGTATATGTAGATGGCAAACTATAATTGTTCAAATCCTACATGGAATAGTTTTTTTAAATTCTTTTTAGCAATCAAGTGATTTTTGTATCACCAATCAGTTAGGAAGTTTGTTTGAGTTGAGAATGCATCACTTTATTTTTATTAATTTTTTCTAATCTAGTTTTTCCTTCCTCCATTGTTAGTTCACCAGATTTTCTAGATCAGATTTTTGTTCCTCCATAGGTTAGTGTGTGTGTCAGTATATCTTATTTTTTATAGTTTTACTTTTGAATCATGTTTTTTCTTCCTACTGGTCAGCACCCTAAACAGAGGTCTGAACACTTCCATTAAAATATTAATGAAGTACTTCCTCAATTAATGAACATCTAAGAATAAACTCAAGATAATGATGATGTAACAACACATAATGCTTGATACATGCATCACTCATCTGTGATTCAAGAATAAAGACCATACATATTCAGGTAATGTTCTCATTGAGGTTGATTTATTTCCTATTTGATCCTTGCTTAGGACAATGGATGGAACACATCTATATTATACTTGAATCTTCATTTTCTAGTTGGAGCCCTATTATTTCCTGAACCAACCTATTCTGGTCCTGACAAAGTAGTATACTTTCGTGGTGTCCAAGGCCTAGATGAAGAGCTTGCAAGAGATAAAACAACCACATGGCTTGTAGCATTTTATACTGCTTGGAACCCTGCTTGTGTGACATTTGCCCCTACATTTGCAAAACTGAGCAGTGAATATTATTTGGAAAATTTTAAATTTGGGAAGGTTGACATTGGGCGCCATCCTGATGCTGGTAAGAAGTATCAAGTCAGTGATAGCAGCATGAGTAAACAGTTACCCACAGTGATATTATTTCAAGAAGGAAAGGAGATTGCAAGAAGACCTATGTCAGATACTAAAGGAAAACTCATAAAATTTTTGTTTTCTGAAGAAAATTTCAAAGCTGGTTTTGGCATGAGTAATTTATATGAGAAATGCAAAAGTCAACTGAAGGTGAAGAGTAAACCACATGTTGAATAATATATTTCAAATATTACTTTGAATCTCACTGGTTTTCTGTGAAAATCCAGTAGATATAGCCACTGATTTTCTATGAAAATCAAGTGGATATAGCCATTTTTAAACTACCTACCTATTTATTTACCAAACAGTTTTTGTTATATTTTAATTTTGACATATTTGAATATTTTTATTTTTTGTGTATTGGCAGTACAATGTTTAGAATAATCTGCATGATAAGTTTTTTTGAGAGAGTTTAGCCTTAGTGTTTGTTGGATGTAAATTTGAATTGTCTCAATGATGGAAGACTGAATTGTTCACAGTAATAACACCCAGAATTACATTTTTGAATGTAAATAAAGACCTACCTACCTGAAATATGGACAAAAATTAATGGGAACAAGTGTAAAAAATGCCATTTCCAAGATACATAGTGTTAAATAGTGTTTTTTCCATGTTAGTTTTTCAATTAAATAATGCATTTTCAGGCCTTTTGTTCATATGAACTTTTTTTTTATATTTTCCTGATAATCTTTCTTAGGCATTGGTCACAATACACTACAACTCTAGTCTGATACCCTAAATTTATATAATCCAAACATCCTCAAGAAATAATACAAATACCATCTGCAAATTTCATTGGAATCACATAATCAATCAAATCAACTTTATTACTAGATTAAAGTGTAAATGGGTAAATGGTGTACAACTAAGACATATTCACATTTGTCCAGCTTGTCACAAAAAAAGGAAAGTGTAGAAATATTACACATACCTAGGAAAATTTTGTTTACACAAAGACTAACACTCTTAATAATTATTAATTAATGAATACTACACAAGAAAAATTATTTACTTATCACAAGTGAAAATTACACAGCCAAAATTTTACTGAATTATGTTACATCAACGTTTAGAAAAAATTCTTCAATACTGTAGAATGCCTCACCTATTAAGAATTTTTTTCTACAAACGTCAAAAAATGACAAGGTTCGCGCATTGATAACAAATTGCGAAGTGACACTTTTTTTCAGTTCCTTATGTTACCATGATACCTAGCACATAACAATGCGCGAAGTAAAACAGTGCGCGAAGTACCTACTTCGCGCATTGTTATGTAAAATATATGAGATATTTTTATTCCAACTTAATGGTCCTCAATCGAGCAAACATCCACGAAATCATTTATTTCTGAATGATCAACCATAACTTTGTTTTATCTCTTGGAGCGCACGAAAGGAAATTCCTATTATGTTCGTGGAACATCGTGCGTACCTAGGGAGGATAGGGGGAGGCTTTTTAAGCCAGTTCAACACTATTTTTTATATCAAGCTAAGCATATTTTTACTTTAGAACTATATTTTTTGACGTTTGTAGAAAAAATGTTGTTTGCAACTCGAGCGCGAAATACTTTGGTCATCTCGACTATTTTTTTAACTCGGCTACGCCTCGTTAAAAAAATCAGATCTCGATCACCAAAGTAGCATTTCGCGCTCTAGATACAAAAATAACTATTTCAATCTATTCTTGAACTGATTCATTGTAGTACAAAGTTTTATCCATTCATCCAATTTGTTGTATAATTTGATGCCTATATAATTTGGATCATTTTGGCCGATTTGGAGTCTTTTAAATGGCAAGTGTAACTTACCTCTTTCTCTTGTACCATAATCATGTACACAATCGTTCGTTTTGAAAGAGGTTGAGTTCTTTCTGTTGAGCACCAAAACCTCGTAGATATATATACATGGCATTGTCAGAATGCCCAAACTGATGAAGTGTTTTTTACAGTGTGAGTAACCCCAGCATCAATCTGATGGCTTTTTTTTGTAAAATAAAAATCTCTTTAGAACTTGCCCTATGGCCCCAGTAAATTATTCCATAACGAATAACTGATTGCACTTGCAATGGTATTCTTGATATTGTTCAATTTTTTTGTTAATTTTCAATATGAAATATCTGGATTATTAGAGAAGTTATGAATGATTCAATTTAGACTGTATCATGTTGATGTGTTCAATATATGTAATCGTTTCAAAATCAGCTTGTATATTTTTTTATAGCATCACAACTCATGAGGCACCAGGTGAATAAAGTTTATGTTGGATTTTTGAAACAGGTAATTGATCCATTTCATTGAATAAGATTGCATATTTATTGTTATTTGAGAGGTGGATTTGAGACATTGTCATTCATTTCATTAAGACATGTATTTAAAATGGTTGAAAATCATATATTTTTCTCTATCAATTACTGTTACTGATCCAGAGGGGGAGCTGGATGCTAATGCATCCCCGTTCAGCAAGCTACTGCACAGCCAGAAACAAATATTTGGCAGGGATCAAGATTTCTTCACCAGGATCAATATAGTCCAATATTAATGCTTTTAAACGTTGGTGAAAGTCCATTACAGCTCAAAGTGAAATGAAAACGGCACAATCTCCATGACTTTTGATTTGAAAACATTGAATTAGGTACATGTTTTGGACATAAGTGATGTCCTTCTGCCTATACAGAGTGGGCCTTTGAAAACGAAACAGAGGCTCTGTAGGTCGCCAAAACCGAATTATCAAAAAAAAACTGAAACAGGTCAACTACATTTTCGAGGGGGACATCTTTCTAAAATATTTTCAGCCCTGCGGCGTTGCCGCTTCTAAAGAAAAGAAGCAACAACTTTGTTAATTCAAATGGAACACCTTGTATTTTATTGCATTCTTAGATTCTCTCCGAAGAGCTGAATTCATCAATGCATCACACTTGGGGTCTAGCTGTAATGGTTTCAGGGATATAAAGTGTTCAAAATCGAGATTTTTCAACTTTAAAATTTTTTTGTGTCGAAACTATTCATTATTAGTCAAAACGGCTCTCATGTCCCTATCTCAACTTGTGATTTACTATCTACTGACATTTATTTGAAACAAATACAGGGTGGTTCAAGATTCAGAATTCTGATCACCCTGTATCTGTTCCAATTAAATGTTAGTAGATAGTGAATCACAAGTTGAGATAGGGACATGGGAGTCGTTTTGACCAATAATGATTAGTTTCGACACAAAAAAATGTTAAAGTTGAAAAATCTCGATTTTGAACACTTTATATCCCTGAAACCATTACAGCTAGACCCCAAGTGTGATGCATTGATGAAATCAGCTCTTCGGGGAGAATCTAAAAATGCAATAAAATACAAGGTGTTTCATTTGAAATAACAAAGTTGTTGCTTCTTCTCTTTAGAAGCGGCAACGCCGCAGGGCTGAAAATATTTTAGAAAGATGTCCCCCTCGAAAATGTAGTTGACCTGTTTCAGTTTTTTTTTGATAATCCGGTTTTGGCGACCTACAGAGCCTCTGTTTCGTTTTCAAAGGCCCACTCTGTATAAAGAAGTCATGGGTATGAAAAAAGGTTTGAGTGTTAACATATATTAAATAAAATGATAGCCTTTTTTGAGGGAAAAGAATGTAGTTTCATAGCCAGCACACATCTACTATTAAGCAACGATAAAAAAATACTATTTTCAGTAACCATCCGGGAAGTGCTCACTTCGCGGACGCTTTTTCTTTGAGAAAGTACCATTTTTCCGGGCTAGTACGTATACTTCCCGGACTAGGCCTAGTTGTCACTGTAACTATGAAAATCTTGGTAGATATGGTTTTGATAAATGCAGATAATCATTACCATAGCTGCTAAATAACGGCTGTTTGGTTCCAATTATCGCAATAAACTATCAAAAGCAGCAGTGATAGTGAGTTAGAAGATGTCCATAAATTTCCAATGTAGCTGTTAGTAGGTATAGGTATTCTGTTCTGATGTGTCTCATTGATTTGTTATTGATTGCCGAAAAAATAGTGTAGGTAACACGTCCAAAACAGTTTTTTTGGACTCGCAGACTTCCAGGACTCGCCTATACGGCTGGGCCAAGAATTTTGTCTACTCGTCCAGAGAAACAATATTTTCCGGACTTGTTTTAATTCATTTGAACTGTTGAAATATTCTATATTTGAATATTTCTGAAGTAACGAATACCGCAAAAGTATGTAGGAATTGAAGTACTCATTCAGAGTATTCATTCTCTAGATTTTTGAGATTTTTCGTCTCAATTTTTATTTATAAAAATATTAGTGTTATTTCAATATACTTACCTGTAGTAAGGAGATATCAAATGATTTGAAGTCACTGTACTTAAAATTTCACTATTAGAAACCTAAAGGAACAAATTCAATCGATAGTCAGTGACACCTTATTTAAAAATGTTTGCAGAATATAGGTATATTGAAAAATATGAAATTCTTCAAATCCCTCGTTTTCAACATAGGAATAGAAAATCGATCATGGCAATTTTTCTGATTGATCTTCATTTCACCATTTTCATACTCTGATTTATATACCTATGTTCTTTTCTCCTTTCTGAGAATGTTTGTTTGTTTCACATAATTGATACATTTCGAATGTTTAGATACTCACTTTGGAAATATTTAAATTCTTATAATATATTATTCTTGCAGATAAATCATGTTTTGAAAAATGAACATATTATTAAATAAGTTGATGAGAGGTAGATATATGCACATTTTCTATCATAGAAGACCTCGACATAAACATAAAAAATTTCGGGAAAACCATTCAAACGACAGCCGATAATTGCGTACTCACTGACCCAATCGAGTTCGTTACCACAATTCGGTAATTTTCTACAGATCTTTCTGAAATATCGAAGTAACAACATTCGCCCAATAACACACACCAAAATCATTGATAAATGGTCAAGACATATTGTATCTTATAATCACCTAACATAATATCGGAGGATACTGAATCATTGTAGGAATTGACACGTAGATTTTGATATTGAGGGGGATGCATTCCAGACATATTTTTCAACCTGAGCAATCAACCCACTAGGTAACTTCTCGATTACTCATTGTTCATAATAATTTTAATATACGTTTTGACATTAGAGTCATATATTGGTGAAAAACAAAAACCGTTGTCCCCAGTTAGAGATCGACCAATAAAAATCTAGTGCAATTTTCGATCCCTTATAATGCAATTTATTTCCTTATGTTTTTTGAGGCGCCATACCCACATGAGGAAAATATTGTCCTAGCTTTGCCCCATTACACCATTAGATCAATTAATATTTGTTTCTGTTCACTGGTCTAACCCCCTTCCTAATAGCCACAGGCCGTTTCGCCGCCGACTGTAGCCACTTGTGCGCGAAATGAAGGGTTGGACAATACATGACATTATGAAAGCAATATGTATTATTTTTAAAATTATTTTTGCATTTAGCGAAGGTACACAACTGAAGTTTGGTGCGTTCCTCCTGCCTCACCCTGTAGAATAAGAATGGCGAATGTTGTACTAGATATAAAAGTTCTAATTTCGTTTCGAGGTTGGTAATCATAAACATCTAAGTAATACAATGAACTCAAGTAATATCATATCTACTAATGAGTGACAAGTTGGCAACTCTGAATGAAATATGAAATGTCATATTTCACTGAAGCATGAAAAATATAAAGTGTGTTAAAACGTTCAAGTAAAAAAAAACAAAATGCATTCAATTGTTATGTTGTTATAAACAAGTTGAAAAAAAGTTATATAAAGTTTTTCGAAATAAAAACTGATATAAATAAACGTAAAAGAGTTTATTTCAATATAAAAAATATACAAAAGTGCAAATAAAAAGTAACGAGCCATGGTAATACCTCATGGGTTGTCGGGAAATTTACCAAAATTATTTCCATCAAGTGAAATTTCTCATGTAGAGTATACTTAGGTACTGACTGGACAAATAAGATCCTGCTCTGGCAAGTACGGCGAGCGGCGAGTATCAATTAAAGCGCTATGCGTTTGAGTGTTTTTTCGAAATTTTTTATGTTTCTATTATCTCGAGGAGGTCTTCTATACAAGAGTCAGTCACCGTAAAAATGTTCACTTTCCTGATTATTCATTAGACAATGTTGAGGTTTTCCAATATATATTCAAATAAATAAAAACATATTTACATCTTCATTCAGAATCCGAATTCGGCGCCAGAACTTCGCCCAAGTTATTCCTGGAAAATGTCGATTCGAAACACCTTCCAAAGACGAGCTTGGCTCTTTTGGTTTTCGGAGATTCTGGTGATCGTGCTATCACATCGTTAAACTCAAGATAATCCATTGGCACCTCACATACTTTGTTACTTTTCGGTGTTTCAACTTGTTTTCCATTTTCAGGTATTTTTTTCAGAGTGGTATCTCTTTGTTTAGCTTTCTTGATTGTTTGCATGAAAATATCCTTTTTCGAACTTTTTTTCTTCGGAGTTTCCATGTCCATGTCGTTCCAGTTTTCATTTTCAAGGGCATCCCGATCTTCTTGAGTGATGTTCCCTTTATGCAATTGAGTGATTTTTGCAGGAATGGATGAACTGGTCATCGTGCTTTGCAAATCGTTGTAGGGATTCAGGGTTGCCACAATGAAGTTCACCTCGAATGTTGGATTTTTCATGATTATCGAGAGGGGCCTGGAACACAATGTTATCTATACAGTGTGTTACAATTTGGTCCACTACAACCCTGTACTACAGTATTCCTAGGGCGATTCAAAAATCTTCATCTCTCATATTATACTACTCAAAAAATATTAATCATGATTTCTTGACCTACTGCGATTTCAAACACTGCAGCAAAATTAAAGAAACGAATTAGGCATTTTTTCACAAATACTTTACTTTACTTACAAATTTTGACGTTAATGACATCAACATTGTTATTGTTCATTTCCTTGTTTGTTTGTTTTTGCCCAGTAATATTATTTCTGCGATTTTTAACTGAGATTTTGAGAAATGGCAGGTTACTCGTTATGCAGATATGTTTTCCGCTCGACGCGTTCCAAAATGGTGCAAAGATTGCGTGAAATAGTATATTTCATTACAAGTCTGGAAATAGGGATTTCTCCTTGCGCGTCTGACGGGGAGTCATGAAAATATAATAATAAAATATAACATAAATAGAAATAAAAGAAACTTGGGGCATTTTTATTTTCACAGTTGTAGGAATGAAAAAAACTTGGACCTACTAGACCTGGATTTTACTGGTAATAAATTCGCGGTCGCTCGTACCACTTGCTTTAAGATATTGTCGGGAATTTCTGCATTTTTTTCTGGGTTCATTTTGTCGGCATAAATTTGATTGACAGAGAATAAACAATGCTGACAATACAGTGTTTGGCATGTATGATTCGTTTCATGGTTATTCTGAAAGTTTTTCCGTGCGTTGTTTCAGAGAAAGCGTATATTATTATTACTATTATAAATTAAAACAAGTTGATTTCAAAGAAGTGATAAAAAAAATTTTTAAAACGAAAAATAGAGATCTTGGGCCAAGAAGTTCGAGGCTTCCTAAAATATTGTTACTGATGAATCTATCTGCTGATATCATGTCGCTACAAGAACTTTTTTGTGTTTACACTCATCGATTGCTTCTGATTTTTCACAAAAAGACGTGGCGTATAGCCAGGAAAGTAATTGGTTTCTGATGAATATTCAGAATGATGTGTGCATATACATATTTTTGTCTGGAGGAGAATGCAAATTCTCAATTTCAGAAGATTTTATATTTTATTTTCAAACTCTTATCGTGTGTGTTCAATAGATATAATTCAATGTTCGTCGTGGCATATAGCCTGGAAAGTATTTGTTTTCTATTAAATAAACGGAAAAAGAGTTGATATTCTCATCACATATAGAGAATGCGAATTCTCAATGTATTGCTTCATGTATATGTATCCATTTTTTTATGTTCATAATTTATCTGAGAATATGCCTTTTCAACACTTTCATACCCAATCAAGGGGTTCAAACTTGAACGATGGAAACTTGTCATTTTCATAGACCTCTTATCACAGATTCGTGATAGTCTCAATTCAGAATTTCTTTCCACGCCCTGTATGATGAATATCAATTTATCATACACCCAAAAACATAAACAAGCACCCTGTACAAGGTATATTAATTCTTATTTTTTTCTAATTTTGCTTCAATTTGGAATTGTTTGAACACACTTATGTAGATCACCCTGTGTATTATAATTATTTACCTTCCTCCTTTTTCAAAATTGAGATCAATATTCAAATTGAATGCTTCTGCAAATTGCATTGCCGTTCTGAATGGTTTCAAAGAAAAGTTAATGGTTGTTTCTTCGTTTGTTTGAAAAATTATGAACTCTGAACCATTTATATTCACGTGACTCCGCACTGACTTGGGCCGAACTGGTGCACCTAGAAAGAATTTAAAAAATGGAATCCTCAGTTTTATCATTTCAATGAACATACCTACACAATAATTCCGGACTACAACCTTGTCTTTGAGAATTTCGAATGTTATTTCATCATCTGAAGAACTAAATGTATTTAATAAGTTATTATAAAAGGCACTACTACTGACTATATTATTTGATCCCAGATCAGTACGTATACCAATGGATAGTGACTCAGCCTCCATTAGTCTCAGTTTATGTACCATAATGATATCATCACATTTGTACTTCATCTTGAATACTATCACATCACTAAGTTTCTCATATTCAATTTTCACAAATTCCAGCTGAAAATGAAAACATTTGGAATAGTCTATGATTATTTTTTTTTCTGTGGATGTATTCCAATAACGGTACCCTCAGAAGAATACATTCATGGAAAAACTCCCATCCACATGTATTTTGAGAAAGTTGTGATTTTCTTCCGAAAATTCGAAAAATTGGTCCTGTGAGGTTAATTCTGGCAGAAAAACCCTTTCGATATATACAGATCATTGAGTACCATTAGAGGAATACATTCATAAAAACACTCCCATACACGTGAATTTCAAAGAATATTTTTTCCGAAATTTCGATAAAGGGGTCGTTGGCTGAATTCTTGCCCGGCAAAATATTGTGAGATACAGATTATTGAGTATCATCCCATCAGAGAAATACATTCATACAAAAAAAATCCATCCACGTGCACTTGGCGGAGTTGTGGCTAGAACTCGTGGCTAGTAGGGCCTCTTGATGCAAACTGACGTATTTGTCATTTTAACAGGGGACGGAGAGATCCTCGTCTCCTCTCACTCTAAAGTGTTTGTGAAACAGTTATATACTTCCATAGGCGAGTGGACTAATCTCCTTTTTTTCTTAAATAGAATCATCACTCAAATGCCTTTCAATTCAACATATTTTCAGCATTTTTCGGTCGATTTTAAAGTGTCAAAATCATCAATAATGCCACGGTAATTTTCAAACGGCGTGAAATTAACCGCGAGTGAAAACTGACGTCACGATTTAGTAGGTAGGAACAGACCATAGCGCAGTTGCCATATGTTGAAATACGATTGGAAACTTCAGAAACATTATTTATTCAATAATCCATTAATTATTGAAACATTCTTAGATATATTTATTAACACAAAAAATGGATATATATTTAAAGAAATACATTGAAAATTCGCATTCTCCATGTGATGAAAATATTAATTCTTTCTCGGTTTATTCAACAGAAAACAACTACTTTCCTGGCTATATGCCACGACGAATATTGAATTACATCTATTGAACACACACGATAAGAATTTGAGAATAAAATCTTCTGAAGTAGAGAATTTGCATTCTCCTTCATATAAAGATATGCATATAATATAATTCTGAATATTCAACAGAAAACAACTACTTTCCTGGCTATTTGCCAAAATGTTCCCTTATGTGTTGTGGCTTATTGATTATAAAACATTTGTGAAAATAATAATCATATTGATTCACTGGTAAACGCTCGGGTAAACGTGACAACAACGACGCACGAATTGTTGGCGTGGTCTTGTCAATTCTCAGCATTCCGTACAATGTTGCCAAGTCTCCAACATCAACAGCAGGCCGGCGTACCTCAGTGCTTCGATGCTTCAATATCGATTCACGTCGAGGTATCGATCGTGGGTTCGAGACCCACGAACGCAGACTTTTTCTGATGGCCTAAGAAAAGTGTTTGGGATCACACGTTAAAAGGTAAGGCCCCCGTCATTCCTTGCTCGCACAAGTCTTTCGAAGACTTCTGAGGGTTGCTCGTAAGGGGGCAACCGAATGACGGATAGAACAATTTTAGAACAACAACATGATATCTTGTTATGGAGTATACGGAATATTTGGACATGCTGGTTGCTCGGAAAAGTCAAGAATCAACTATAATATCATGACTTCCAACTACTATGTTTTAATGAAAGATTATCTGACCAGTAACGAGACAGTACGTCACCATATATTCGACGTATCGCCAAATGGCGGCCATGACGGTACGTTTGAAATTACTTCTGAATTTCAACAATTACGAACAACGGATAAACTCATTATTTACATAAAAATAGCGTGAGGAGTGTTGCAAAAATTAATTTAGGTCCCTAACGATACAGTGGCGTAACTGAATGCCAATAATTCATTATTAGTCCACTCGCCCAATAAATGCTAGATTTCTAACATTTGTTGTTTTTTAGGTTATATTGAGGACATTGGCGTATCATGTGTATATTCCACATGAAATTCCTGATTCAGCTCTACATATTATATCCAAATGATAAATAATTTCTGAGTTTTTGATTTTTCAACTCCAGCATAATCTTTGCGAGGCAGTGAGCATAAAACACCACCTCGCAATGATTGAAATGTACAAGCGAGTCACATAAATTTTTTTTTAATTCCTCACGAGAGAAATTGCCGTTGAGGGATATTTGTTCTTTGAACCACTTACTTACTGTTGTGACCGAGAAGTATTTGATTCGGTTATTTGGAAAAACACGCCCGAATAACTTCAATCACTCAATTTCGACAACCGTTCGATAGCACGAATCAGTCAGAACTACCTTATATTATTCATCCTATCTCTACGACAAGTTATTACCTAAGAACATAGTATGAGTCAGTAACGATTTGTGGCCAGGAAACCGCACCGATACTAATATACAGCGTGTGAATATTAGAGTCCCTGTATGTATTTGAGACTTTTGCTGTAATAAGAGTACGGACACTATGACAAGCAGTGACAGAAGGCATAACCCTAAAAAATTTGAAATGACATGAACAATTTGGCGGGCACTGACAGTTCATGAACGTACATGACATTAGATTATTTGAGAATTCAGGTTTTCAAAAATTAAAATGTCTAATTGTGTAGTGGAGAATTGCAAAAATGGAAGCGAGTCCTTTCATTTATTCCATTTCCCCCATTCTAACCAACAAGTACATATACCCTTTGTTAAGTATATCGAGAAATACTTTCAACAAATTGATTTACAAACTATGACCCCTTTTCGCCAGTGAGATGAGACGCCACTTCTTTATGAAAATAAAGACAGAGAAAGATATATGGATGGACCCTTCACCGCGGCAGTAGAGGATGGAAGATCCGAAGTGCATGGAAAAGCATATCCATGTCTTTGTTCAAAAGTCATTTTGAGAATTTGGGGTTATGCCTTCCGTCACTGCTTGTCATAGTCTCCGTACTCTTATTACAACAAAACTGACAAATATATACAGGGAATTATACATACAGGGACTCTAGTGAATATAATATGATTAAAATAACGATAACAAAAATAGTAATAATAATAGTAGTGATAATATCCAAAATACCTAATGAGAATGATATAGAAATAGTGATATTTTATAATAAATAATAATTATTTAGATGATGCCGGGCTTCAGAAGACGACTTCGGCCGTTGAATTATGTTTAAGAACACCAAGAGACATGACTCGATGCTCGACTCGATGTCATGAATTACAGTTTGGGAGGTCCTGCGCATTGAACAGAAGCTTTTTCACGCCAACAATGAGGGCTTACATTATTGATTGCCCGCCAGATCACGCTTCTGAAACGTGAGGTCAGAGTTGGTAGAACTAATAAATATACTTCTACTGCCATTTGGCCTCATCCTACAATATCTTCTTCTCCGTCAATGTAAGAATTGGTCGTGAAGTTCACTAGCGTCTAGCGCAAGGAGGTATTCCCATAAACAACGTAGTGGGAGAACCGCGCCAAGCGAGACGCGGACGCAGACAAACATCACCTATGCCTTCATCTATTGACATGCCCGACGAACGTTGGAGACAAGGAGCGAAACAATAATGTAATATTATTATTGGTAGGTAAACAACCAATACCCTTAATTGGCGCCGAATTATGTAGAGCCCGACCACGATAACTTTGGGACAGCACGTGGTCGCGTATGCATTGAATATGCATATGCGTTGCGTCACATGCTGTCCCAAAGATAACGTGGTCGGACTCCAAGGGAAGGAGTGTATAGTCGGTTGACATACAACTATTTTCAGGATACCTACTCATTTATGTTATAGTTTGGTCAACGTGCGTTTCACACAAATGGAATTGAAGACCTTGTTGCAAGAACAGGGCAAGTCCATATTTCTTAAATGTTGGGAAAATTAAAAAAACTTTCCTGTTTGGAATTCGATTGAAACAAATACATAAATTGATTGATTGATACATATTGAGATACAAAATTGAAAATTTGGACTCGCCTGTTCCTTACACCAAAATATTTGTAAAAATAATATCATTCAAACAAATTATTCATTATTTGTAATAAAACACAATGTTTCAATCTCAGATTAGTGGAGGATGAGTTTCATAGCGCTCATTTTCCTTAGACATTTCGGGTGGATCGTCTTCAGGTTGATCTGTCGGCAAATCTCCGAAGATGGCCATAAAAATCTAGGTTATATTTTTGGACCAAATTTTTGCAGTTCCTCACTTTTTCATCGTTTATTGCTAGATATTATTCTTGTAACAATTTTCTGTTAGCCGAGACAACTGACTCTGTGTACCGGTCTTGATCAGAGAGAAAGTTGAAAAAATAGTAAGCCCGGCAGAGGCTGAGCATTGTATGAAGCTATTATTTTCAGTATATCTCAGGACTCTGTAACTTGAAATTACAAACTTCTCAATGTTGCAATTTTACCAACATCATAAATATCTCATACAGATTTTTGAATTCCTGCTCCGTTTACGAGCTATTGGTTTTGACGAAAGTAGTCCAGCTAAATATAGGTCTTGTTTTTCCTCATCTGCTAGTTTATTGAAAAGCTTCTAAGACCGATTGCCTGATTTGTTGAATTATATTTGAAAAACATCTTTCTCGACATTATTTATACAGTGTGTCCCACTTACCATGCTCACCATGGGTATCTTTTTAACGGTGAGAGATACGAGGTCGGTTAAATGACACCAAATGTGTAGTTTGTCAAGGCCAACTATAATGTGAAAAAATATTTTGATAAAATCTATTCGTTTTTGTTTTATACGCAAAAAACAGATTTTGATCATTTTCATGTCTCCTCCGTTATTTATGAAAATATTCAAATAGGAATTTCACATTCTCATGGAAGATTTTCAAAGTGATTTCGAAAAAGATATGAAATTTATACCAACTCTTCTAGAATTTGAGATATAAGCACCAACTTTAGTTTTTCAAATGTAGGTCATAGCACACTATGACTTAGTTACAAATAACTTTTTTTTCTCTTACAGATGATATGTCGCAGTAATAGTTTTGTGTTGATAACAA